GTAAATCATTCGTTTTACGTTCAGGATTTTTGGCCAATGAATTAAGACATCAATTTCTATAAAATCATATTACAGATTTGGCAAATACACTGAAAAGTAATAAATTTTATTTTGCTAAAATTTACTTGTGATACAAATGAAATAAAATCCTTTGATGATTGTTATAAAATATGGAGAAACAATGAACTAGTAACAATATTCACGATCAAAATCTACAGTTAGTATTGATCTACAGCAGAGGTGTCCAAACTACGGCCCGGCAGGCGATTTAAGTATTTTGAAAAATTTCGTAAAATATAGGGCAAATTTATCGGATGATCATTTGAGATCATTGCTAATAATTGGTGTTTCCGATTTGAATCCCCCAAATTTGAAGGAACTCTCCAGGAAAAAACCCAGTTCCACCATTCCCATTAAAAATTGCATGAAATAATTTTATAATAATATAATTTAGACATGTTTGTTTAGTATTGTTATATCTGTAATTTACTATAAAAAAATAAAATTCAATGCTGCTTATAATAAGGTTTTTTAATTCATAAAACAAAGCAAAAGTATTAATTATGAATTGATGAAGCAAATAACGTTCATAATTGATGCACCCTTAGGAATGCAAGGTTAACTACAGAAAGTCAAACAATGAAAAACTATGGAGTTTTCTTTAAACAAATTTATATTATCATTTGACAGTATAATTCGTGTTCAAATTTAAGAAAAAAAAGAAACATTAACGATGTAAACTTGAATGGTAACTGTAAGTTTCGTTCAAACGTGTTTCAAATTTTACTAATAAAATCGTAAAATCTATGCAAGTCGTAAATCATTCGGATTTTTGGCCAACTGCACGTATTTGAATGAATTAAGACATCAATTTCTATAATATCATATTACAGATTTGGAAAATACACTGAAAAGTAATTAATTTTATTTTGCAAATGAAATAAAATCCTTTAATGATTGTTATAAAATATGGAGAAACAATGAATTAGTAACAATATTCACGATCAAAATCTACAGTTAGTATTGATCTACAGAGTAAAGTATTAATTATGAATTGATGAAGCAAATAACGTTCATAATTGATGCACCCTTAGGAATGCAACGTTAACTACAGAAAGTCAAACAATGGAAAACTATGGAGTTTTCTTTAAACAAATTTATCTTATCATTTGGCTGTATAATTCGTGTTCAAATTTAAGAAAAAAAGAAACATTAACCATGTAAACTTGAATGGTTACTGTAATTTTCGTTCAAACGTGTTTCAAATTTTATTAATAGAATCGTAAAATCCATGCAAGTCGTAAATCATTCGGATTTTTGGCCAATGAATTAATACATCAATTTCTATAAAATCATATTACAGATTTGGCAAATACACTGCAAAGTAATTAATTTTATTTTCACAAATGAAATAAAATCCTTTAAGGATTGTTATAAAATATGGAGAAACATTGAATTAGTAACAATATTCACGATCAAACTCTACAGTTAGTATTGATCTACAGAGTAAAGTATTAATTATGAATTGATGAAGCAAATAACGTTCATAATTGATGCATCCTTAGGAATGCAACGTTAACTACAGAAAGTCAAACAATGAAAAACTATGGAGTTTTCTTTAAACAAATTTATATTATCATTTGGCTGTATAATTCGTGTTCAAATTTAAGAAAAAAAGAAACATTAACGATGTAAACTTGAATGGTAACTGTAACTTTCGTTCAAACGTGTTTCAAATTTTATTAATAGAATCGTAAAATCCATGCAAGTCGTAAATCATTCGGATTTTTGGCCAATTAATTAATACATCAATTTCTATAAAATCATATTACAGATTTGGCAAATACACTGCAAAGTAATTAATTTTATTTTCACAAATGAAATAAAATCCTTTAAGGATTGTTATAAAATATGGAGAAACAATGAATTAGAAACAATATTCACGATCAAAATCTACAGTTAGTATTGATCTAAAGAGTAAAGTATTAATTATGAATTGATGAAGCAAATAACGTTCATAATTGATGCACCCTTAGAAATGCAACGTTAACTACAGAAAGTCAAACAATGGAAAATTATGGAGTTTTCTTTAAACAAATTTATATTATCATTTGGCTGTATAATTCGTGTTCAAATTTAAGAAAAAAACAAACATTAACGATGTAAACTTGAATGGTAACTGTAATTTTCGTTCAAACGTGTTTCAAATTTTACTAATAGAATCGTAAAATCTATGCAAGTCGGAAATCATTCGTTTTACGTTCAGGATTTTTGGCCAATGAATTAATACATCAATTTCTATAAAATCATATTACAGATTTGGAAAATACACTGAAAAGTAATTAATATTATTTTCACAAATGAAATAAAATCCTTTAATGATTGTTATAAAATATGGAGAAACAATGAATTAGTAACAATATTCACGATCAAAATCTACAGTTAGTATTGATCTACAGCAGAGGTGTCCAAACTACGGCCCGCCAAGTATTTTGAAAAATTTCGTAAAATATAGGGCAAATTTATCGGGTGATCATTTGCAATCATTGCTAATAATTGGTGTTTCCGATTTGAATCCCAACTTTGAAGAAACTCTCCAGGAAAAACCCAGTTCCATCATTCCCATTAAAAATTGCATGAAATAATTTTATAATAATATAATTTAGACATGTTTGTTTAGTATTTTTATATCTGTAATTTACTATAAAAAATAAAATTTGGACGCCTCTGAT